TAACCAATCTGTATATTTTACCTACCTACCAACCCCATATATCTGTCTTTACAGGCGATACACTCGCTTGAAGTGAATTTTCAGCAATTCAACAGACATTTCTAATCAAGCGACTTTATCGCTTGTAGATACGACTATAAAGGGTTGGTGGGTGAATAAAATATACAGATTGGTTAAAGAATGTGTCTAGAATTAGGAAGTTAAAGGTAGTTGATTGACCAATGCTTGTGAAAGGAGAAATTCTCCTCAAAAGTGCGCAAAAAATCTACCAAATTCGATGAAGAAAATTATAATCATAAATTCATAATCATATTTTCAATTTTTATCCTTATCTTCTACTTACATAATCAATTCTGTCCTCAGCCAACCAGTGAAAACACTTCAGAAACAACAGAAGAGTGAAGAGAGCTACGAATTTAGGACTGAAATCATCCCGAAATACTGTAAACGCTAAGCAGGTCTCCGTCACTGCATACCAAGATCTCTCGATTAAATGCTGAAAGAATAAAAACATGGTATATGGTTAAACTGATAGTCAACTTGTCCTCCTATGAAAGGAGGAGGAAGGTTTCAACTAAATAAGAGACACAAGTCACATTTACTGAACTATTTTATTTAGTAAAAGGATTTTTTTTGGATGCAGTTTATTTGGAAAGAAGACCTAAGGTTTAAGTTGACTTTTAATCATAATTCACTATTCAGTTTCTGATAATATAAGTCGATGTTCACTGGTCATTATATAGTTATGTAATGTTCAGGTATGTTCAAATCTTTGATACAATCGTTTCATTTATGGTTACCTCTATTTCAGCAGGTCGAAGTGTTCCAAAAAATATCTTCCTCATTAGTTTTCCCATGAGAATGATAAAAACAAAGGCTTGGATGTACAACATCTGAAAACAGGATGATGCTTTAAAATCAATTTCTGCAAAACATTCTCTACTGTATAACAATCTTTAAACTCTTTTGTTTTAAATTACTGACAATAAATGTTACTATGAAACGATACTGAATAAACTTTAAATCTTATATTATGTGGTTATATGGCTTTATATCTTTTTGTCCTTTTGAAATTTATCAGAAAGAATTAGAATCTAAGAATGAAACAGGTACAATTTTGTAACACGTCATCATAAACAATATTGTTTCTTACCGCCATGCTGGGATTAGATTTCGTGATATAAACCACTGAAGGATAAAACTGTTTCTTCTGGTAGTATGCATTTCCAATCACGAACCCACTTAACACAAAACTAAGCCCTGTTACAAGAAACGTCTTCATAACTTCTGTTACTCAATATGGCGTTCCAATATTATGCTTCTATAAATAGATTTACAAAGGGGTTTTCCTCGCCTTGACTTGTCACTTCGATTGAAGAATATTCGTATCTAACCATCCCTCTCCCTTTAACGTTAATTTTTTACTTTTATTTGATGAATTATTCAAAAAGTAAGATTTTTTGATTGAATTGTCTTGTTCTTTTTTAGAACATGCAAAGAATAGTATCTGTCAACTACGACAAAAGTTGCATTTCCACTGATTTTTTAATACTAATTAAGTTACAAGTATTAGCTTTCCTAAAAAGCTTGTCTGACGTTGTTTGCTTAAATTCATAAAGCGGAGAGAAATAATATACAGTTATTGACTGGGTATGAGGGCAACATGTGATTTGTTGGACCTGAAGGTGAAAATGTTGCCCGAGGCCGCAGGCCAAGGGCAACATTTTCACCTTCAGGTCCAACAAATCATATGTTGCCCGAATCCCAGTCTATAACTGTTTTGTTATACCCTTCACTGCTCACTTACGATTGATCAATTTAATCAATACACGCTATATTATCAATTATTTTATATGGAAAATTATGGCTTCTTCAGTAAATATATAACATCAAGCCGAGAAAGAACAAAATCAATTATATATCTGTTGTATCACAAAAATTATTTATCACAAAACATACTTTTCCCTTCTTCCTTACCGTGCTGTTAGCAACAACTCTTGTAGCTCTTAACTTCGGCTATTTTCACGTCGCCGATATTGAACGATGATTAATTGTGACGTAACAGACGAGTGACGTTGCGGTCTAACAATTCTTATGTAAGACCGGTCAGTAGTGAAATTGTTAGACCGATGTAATTAACAGTTCTTTTGTTGGACTTTTTATAAGTAATAAATATATAGAATGATATTTATAAGGGTATAACAATAAATTATGTTATATAATTTCTTTCATTCGATTATCTTCAAGAGAGCATGCGTTTTCAATATTGTATACAATACAGGCACGTAGCATCGTTTTTGAAAGTGGGGGGCCAACCAGAGAAATTTTTTTTTTTTACTTACCTGAAAAAGTTGACAAGCAAAAAAAAAAAAATTAAAAGTTGCCCAAACTCGAAAATCCTATTTCGTGGGGGGGGGGGGGGGGGGGGGGGGGGGGTAGTGGCCAACTTTTTCAAAGCCGAGTTACTTTCACTTCCAATTTTTTTCCTACAATTCCTTCATATCACTATACTATGGTAAAAAAAGTGGGGGGGCCAACCATTCTTTCAATGAACATTTACTATAGTAAAAGTAATGTTGGAGAAAAAAGTGGGGGGGGCCGGGCCCCCCCTGGCCCCCCCTGTTGCTACGTCCCTGCAATAATGTACGAAGAACTTTAGATTGAAGCTCCTGGCTCTAGGATCATGAAACAAACTAAGACTTAAGTGAAAGTTTTAATCGCCGATAAAATATTTATTAATTATGAAATTTATTTCTTCATTTGCACATAACAACATCACTGTGAAACAATGTTAAACATATCCCCAACCCTAACTCTTCTGGTCTGCTTGACTTTTACAGCCTTTTAATATAAAATAGAAGTACCGTGAGCAATGAGCCAGGGTACTTTTGATGTGGACGCCTGAATAGGCCGGGTTTTGGAAGCTGGTGAATTTTCAACGATTTCGATGTGCATATTTGACCCTGGCTTCTGATAGCATTTTTCTGACACTTTTACAGTTTGTTACGCAGCCACATTTGAGGTCTGTTCTTTCCTTGCACAAAATGTGGACAAATACATGTACTCAAAAATGAGAAAGGATATGTCCAATAGCGTTGTTTTACGAACCCACTAAAACAATTTTAGAAGCTCAACAAATTACGTATGGTAACTTATGGTAGTTGGTTAGAGTGGTTGACTGGTTTCGACAGACCACGTAATTGAATGATACGCCTAAATTAATGTTGAAAATACACCTCTAAAGATTGAAAATAACAAAAAAGAATTCTTTTCAGCTCATTTTTTTTGCACATTACCTCGTACATTGTATAAATTTTCAAATACATGTTCATAGGTATTCACAAATCTGGTATCTTTTACAACAATTATAAAAACGTAAAATATACTATTGGTTTAAATTGATTTTGGATGTTCATATATAAAGCTGAATTGTGATTTTAAAACTAATTTATTGTGTAATCTGCAGTAGAGAAACTCTTTAAGAGTGTATTTACACTTGGAAAAAAAACTCAGCAATTTTCGATAGTAAACCAAAATCCGGGAAAATCTTTTGATTTCAGTGAGGTGTACACTGTCTTATTTTTTATCGTTAATTCTAAATGTTTCTAAGTATTCTTTTTATTTTAAAAATTATCTACTAATATTTGGCAAAAATTTTGAGTACGCTTTACAATATTAACGCCTGTCTCGCTATCCTCTCCCCCTCTCTCTTCCTTTTCCGCTTTTTAAATTTTTTTTTTATATTTTTTTGAGAAATGATGTGGACGTTTGTGCGTACAAACGTACGCCTGGCTACGTGCCTGTCAGCTCACTAAATAATACCCCCGCCTCCCATATGAATATAATGGCAGTATTCATGTATTGTTCTGGAAAATCCAAAATATATGTCAGATCAAAAAGTAAAATAGGATGTGCACAATGGCAATATGTATCAAAGATTCTATAAAAGTTTTATTAACTTTCCTTCAGTGGTATGAGAGGAGTTCCGGATAAGAGATGGGTACCCCAAAGCATAACAGACGGTCGCAGGGACGGATATACCGATTACTATATACAGTGTACCCTCCCACTTTTCAAGCGGGAGGGGGGGGGGGGGGGGTATAATAAAGATTTTGATCGACTTAGGCTTAAGATGTTTCAAGATCCTGGGTCAGCATTTTTCAAGTAATGTTTTATATGTTAAATGACCTATCTGATTTTTTATTGAACAAACATGAAGGTTGTAAATGATGAAGTCAATGGGAAGATCTTTGATCACTTAATGGGCGCGTATAACCCTAACCCTGGCGATAACAATATTGACAGAGCGTTACATATGCTGACCATTCCCCTGCTGTTCTTGAAAGCTTTCATTGCTTCTCAAACCATTTGATGCACAGTGATTCTCTACTTAATTAACACTGGTACCTAATTGATTGATGAAATTCTGGGGAAAAAAAACAAGAAGATGCATATGGTGTAAAATATACTCGTTGGATGGAAGTAAAGTATAACACTTCAGCTAACATACAGATCTATTTACACAATAAAGAATTAAAAGCGAACTTGTTTTCACTGCATATTTCTCAGGTACCGTATTTTCAGTTTTTACAATACTTGGAGCAGGGCAACTAAGGAAAATATTTGACCACGTGCCTGATGTTAAGGTACTAGTAATTCATTGTCAAGGTATAATTTTACTGAAAATAAGCAATCAATTATTTAACCATAACATGTAAAATGACTTAATCTTTGATGCACAACACAAAACAGTGAGATTTATATAATAAAGCAATTTTATAGAGAACTGAAGCGGACATGTTCAATAATGAAAGAACGGATTATACTAAAGACAAGATCATTCAGTAATGTAAATAAAAGCTCATTTCATCCTGGGACGAACTACATCTGTCTTTGGAAATTTATATGTATCGAAATTTCCACCATCGAACTATCTAAACAATTTCATGGAACGACCGCATAAATAAGCCCTGGTTAAATCTAGTACTGCCTGACGCCGTGACGTCAGACAATTAATCTCTCTATCTCCTTCTCTCTCTCTTTCGACAAATATATAATAACACAAATTTATAGATTTTTAATTTATTTCATGACAGCATAATTCAAATATCACAGAAACAGCTTCAGTCAAAGTTCATAATTCATTGAGTCAGTATAAAGAGAAAGAAAGACTGAAAGAGAGAAGAAAATCTCATACACAACACCCATCACTCCTCAGCCACGGGCCAGTCTGTACTGCTACTCGGAAGATTCTTCTTTAATGCTGAAACAGACAGACAAAACATATAGCTATAGCATGTATAGGACATATTTCAAATATGTCATGCAAGTAATTAATTTACCGCTTTTTATCAATAGCCAACATATAGGCACCTGACGAATGGATTGTGTAACACGCACCCCCCCCCCCCCCCCCCCCGTCCCCCACTATAGCTTCTGAGAATTTTATTAGGCACAAAGACTTTTCAAAATATTTCTGATTTAATTTCCAGCTCTTGTTAAGATTAAGAGATTGGGCATTACAGGTATATAAAAAAAGACCAATCTCTAAAAAATTAATCTTAACAAAAAGCGGGAAATTATATCAAATATCGAAATATACTAAGTAATTATTAATTAATTACAGACAACGATATAGACTAGGAAATCGTGTATTTTAAAGTTTTTGTCAAAATTGTGCCTGATAAAAATTCTCAGAAGCTAAAGGAGGGGGAGGGGGTACACCATCCATTCGTCAGGTAGCCAATGGTATCGACGATTGACCGCACATTTTTTGATTTCCCAAAATTAAAAAAAGTATGGGGTATCTTACGTTTCATGTCGAATCTGGAGTCTTCCTGGGAATTGTCAAAGATGTCATCGCCGGAGAAAATCCACTCCTCCCTGTCCGGACTGGCCGAGTCGTACTGACTGTCGAAGGGCTCACAGGCGCGGCACCGGCGGGGACTGGCGTGGGGCCCCCGGGGGTACCCGTCATCCTCCTCAGAGTCACGCACGTAGCTCCTGATGGCACCGCTGTGGTGCAGGGGGCGGCTCCTCTTCCAACACAAGTGGTCAGGATAAATGTCCATAATCTTTAATAAATTCTAATTCTAATTTAAAACCAGCATAATTAAATCAAAATTTACTTATTAAAATATAAACAATCATTATATATTATATAGACATAGAAAAGATATGTATTAATTTACTTTATATCATTTCTAAATCTTTTTTTCTCTTGTTACTTTTTAATTTTTTTTTCTACAACTGGGAAACATTTCATTCTGGGGATACCTCTTCGCAACAGCGCCGACTGACAACAGCTCTGTATGATATTCTAGCCC